GACAGACAGACAGACAGCAATGTGAGAGAGACACATCGATTGGTTGCCTCCAGCACCCCACCCCGACCGGGCCAGGGATCGAGCCTGTGACCGAGGTATGAGCCCTTGGCCAGAGTCGAACCCGGGACCCTTCAGTCCGTGGGCTGACACTCTAACCACTGAGCCAAACTGGTCGGGCTGTTTCGTCATCTTTTAAATGAGAAGGTTGCTTCCAAGTTGCTCGTGGTTTGCAGAGGCTCTGAATACACCTGTATCTATCCCGCCAGTAAGTCGGTCACTGATCCTCCACAGCACTAACGCTCTGTGAAGGGGTGGATGGAAGGAGACACTGACAGTGGCTGAAGGTCTTTGGAGCCGGTCTAAAGAGGTTGCAACTGCTGGTGCCAGCACTGTCTGCACAGTCCCTCTGGGCAGGGTCCTGCCTGCCTCTCTGAGGAGCCTTCCCTCCACTGTCCTATAAGGACTGCTCGGATTTTCCCAGAGTACAGGAGGGGAAATGCTTTGGAAATGAGACTGTGCTCCTCTGATGGGTCTCCAGGGCCTGGCACAAGGTCAGCTCTGAGATGGCTTCTGCGTGGCCTCTGTTTCCCACTTAGAGCTATCAGTGGCTGACTCCTAGACAACTGTTACTGTCCTAGTGTTGAAATCCTGACTCCCAGGGGAGCTTCCTCTTTTTGCTGAGATGGGAGAAAATAGCTTGATTGCTTGACTTTTAAAGTGAGACGAGAATTATAATTTAGAAAAATATAATAAAGTAAACCTCACCTCACCCAAGTTCAGCCTTCTTGTCAGTAATTCCTACCATCTGATAGATCTGATGACACCACGAACAGCTACAGGGCCTCTCTGTGGAACTCCAAGAGAGCAGAGGGCCGTCCCGACCGGCACAGCTGAGCCCCAGATGTGGCTGTCCTTATGAAGTGACAAGCTTTAAAACTGAAATGAAATCCTTTAGCTTTGAACTTGGTAGAGAATAAGAATTTGAGTTAGAGTTCCTGTTTTAGTCTGAAATAACATGAATTCCAGACTTAGCCTTAGGACTTAGATGCCACAACAGGGTCGAGTTGGAATGTCCCAGCCGCCCTAAGCGAACTGGGTCACAGAATTACAGCTGCAGTTTTTGTAAGCCTCTCCTTCGGCCCGACTTCCCCACTCACACCGGACTTGAGTGATTTTAGTAACAAGCCCCACACTCCCAAGGCCACCAGAATAAGCACATGGCCGTGTACTCCCAGGAGCGCAGTCCACCTGCTCAGCTCTTTCTAGTTACTGAACAACAGGCCACGTTTGGAAGTGGCTAGTGGGAGGGTGGTCCCTGTCAGTGTCATTAGCATCACCTGGGAGCTTACCAGGAATGCAGAGTTCCAGGCCCTGCTCAGACCTTCTGAGTCTGAATCTGTATGTTAACAGCCCAGGCAGATGGGGGAATGTGAGTATTGCCTACTCTGAGAGCATGTTTGGGGGATGGGGGTTGTGAAAAATTCCCACTCTGTCTGTTCTTTACTGGCTCAGAACTCCAAGCCTGACACGTGCCCTTGTCCCTTCTGTTGCAGGAGCCTGCTACGGTTCCTGTCCCACGCTGCCCAGGTGGCTGGACACTTTCTCATCTACACAGGCAAGCAAATGCTCCGAGTGCTGGGTGACACAGAAGAGCAGACTTCTCCCGGGTTGCGCTCCAGGCATACGTTCACGATTGGATAGGGTTACACTTTGAGGAGCTCAGCCGGCCTTCACCTATACATTGCTTCTCAAATGATGAATTTTGAAGATGCTTATGTTCACTTAAGCACTACACATACGTGCACCTGTAAGCTGTCCGTCACTTCTGCTCAGGAGTGGTACCCAGGTGAAGTGGAATTCAGGAAAGGGACTTGATGGCACATGACAGGGGGGCTGTGCAGCGGGATGCCCTGAGGGGGAGGAGATGGGTAGGTGCCCCCATGTGGGATGTCTTGGGTGCTAAGAAGCAATACCATATGCATTAGGCCCTTTTGGCTCCTCACCTCCTGCAATAAACCAATCACAAGAGTTACTTTTAATATGTATAATACTTTCTGGTGTGTCTCTCACCTTCCAAAAAAACAAAACTTTCATATAGAAACCAAACTCAGCCAGAAATCTTTTGCTAACAGATACAGTCACTTTTGTCTTTATTAGTACTTGAGTGCGGCAGAAATAATGAACTGTCAAATGTTACTGTGTTTTGGTTTTTCCTAATGTGGGTCCTGAATGAGCTCAAAGGGACCCAAAAGCTTAAGGAAGGTCTTCAAGCAGCACTTTCAGCCTTTTTCTTAAAAAAAAAGAAAACAAAAACAAACTGCTTGACGCCTAGATCTGGTGCGTGATGCGAGGGGACCATGTCTTCACTTCCGAACGTCGCCCGCGCCGGGCCCTTGGTGGTAGGGACGGAGCCCCGACTCGGGCTGCCGGGAGCCAAGGGCAGCCAAGGGGGCCGGGCGCTCCGACCAGGCGGCCAGCAGCCTGCCCCGCACCTTTTCCTCCAGTCTTCCTGAGCCGGGTCATTTTCGGGCAGGCCCCCCTCGCATGGGAGCAGGATGTCAGCTCCAGGGCCACGAGTCCTGGGCTGCCGGCGGAGGGACACCCCGGACCGGCCCCTCCGCGGTCACTGCGGCCGGTGTGACCCGCAGGGCCCGGGCCGGTCCCGCACCCGCAGGCGGGAAGGCTGGCCCCAGCCACACGGGTCGGTGGGGAGACGTGGCTCCCAAAGGAAATGGGGTGCTGCTACCAGAATGAGGGTACCAGGTGCGAGGAGACGTCCACCCCTCAGATTTGTGGGTTTCCTATTACGAAATGTGGCCGCACCTACCTTTCTCCTTCGCTGGCTGACAGCCGGGCAGTGAAAAGGTCCACAGGCTGCCCTGGAACCCCGGGGCCTGGGGGC